CCCACATAGTCGACTGCGGTTCGCGTCCCGGACCCAGTGGCTTAAAACTCACACCGGGTGCATGTGCGTGCGTACCCAAGATCCCAAGAGGAGAATGGAGGAGAAGGGATGCGGTGTGACCATCCCCCCTGGGGGGTGATTTCTTGCTTTCTGTCTCTCTGTCTCTCTCTGTCGGTCTGGCGAGAGCTCACACCCTAAGCGAAAACCTCTCCAAAAAAAAAAAGAAACCACAATTCTAGAGACAGACAGATCTGGGATTGAGTCTGGTTCTGTCCCTTTCTTGCTGGGTGCCTTTGCATAGGTTGTTTAACAAATTTTCCTTTGTAGAATTCCATCTCCATATCCAAATAGCCAGTTTCTGATACTAACATTACTATCCTCACATTAACTGGATGAGAGCATGTGTCAAAAAGCCACGGCAAAGCTCAGCACAGGCCAGGTACAGTAAATGCTTAATAAACATTAGCTGTCATTAGGATCCTGCAAGTTTGATTAGCATAATTACTCCTCCCCCCACCCCCCACCCTACCCCCAAGAAAAAAGGGAAAAATCTGCTCCTGGGACTATAAAGCTGACCAGCTACCCGGCTGGCTCCTGGGTCAGCATCTTTATGTCAGAGTTCCCAGAGGTAGTCGACCCTCCAGGAAACCTCCCCCTTTCCCCTCTGGGTTAGGGTCTTCTGGACATCATGCAGGCTGGGGAACTAAAAGGAGTTTTGTCTGAGAAGAGGCTAAGATTGATCCCATCCACAGGGATATGGGAGGATGGGGTGGCTCCATGCTCTTTCCAGTTTCCTTTCCAGAGTCCCCATTCAAAAAAGGCCAGAAAGTGGGTGGTAGCCTCTTTGGGAAATGCCAGGCAAGGCCTAGGAAAGGGTAGAAAGGGGACAGGGTTGCCTGGATTCAGACAGCAGAGTGCAGGACAGAGAGCACAGGCGGGCCCCCCCAGCGCTCCTCCCTGTTAGGTTTGAATTCTGTCCAATGGGGCCAAATCTCTGGGCTCAGCAATTGCAGGGGCCCAGGCCAGAGGTGCTGATAGCTAGATTGATGATGGGCGGGGCCACCCCTGCGCCACCCCTCCTCAGGGGCCCAGCTGACTCCGAATGGCTGGCTTAATAGGGTGGCAGTGGGCCACTGAGCTCTCCGGGAGGCCTCCTCCCACTGTCCCATCATGCCAGCTGTCTCCTCCCTTTGTCCCCAGTCCCTGGAAAGTGGCCTGAGGCTGGCTGACATCACCTCTCCTCCTCCCTCTGTTTTCTCTTTCCCCATCCCCATCTCCCTCTGCTCGATTTCCCCCCTTTCTTCCATCCCTCCTCTAGAGATGGGCCTTCTAGGGTCCATTTTCCTTGAGCCACTTGGTGCTTTCATCCCTTCCCAACCTTTTACTTGCCTTCCAATCACAAGCCCCTACCAACCACCAGTGGCCATCTGTTCCCGCCCAGAAAAAAGCAGTTAGGGCTCGGGCTACATGGGCCCCCTCCCCTCCATCCAGGCGCAGGCTCCAGAAAGAAAAGGAGAATGGGGAGGGGGCGGGAAGAGGGAGGGACCCGGGGCCTGGAGGAGGAAGGCAGGAGGAGTAAGAGGGAGAAGGAAAACAGAAGTGAGAATAGGGGCTAACAGCTTCTAGGAGAAGAAAGGCACCAAGGACAGAGACAAAGAGAGGGCAGACGTTAAAGTGACAGGAGCACGAGGCGGGCCATGGAGGTCTCTGCCCGGCAGCCTCCTCTCCCCGGTGGACTCACCGACGTGGCAATGGCCATGGCCTTGGCCTCCCCCCGGGCCTGCTTCAGGCCAGGCTCGGTTTTGCTGACTTCAGCGGTGGCTGCCCTGCACCATGGTCCGCGGCCTCCAGGCAGGGAGCCCGCCCCCGGCTGTGGCGCCTGAGTCGTGGCCTCCGCCGGGGTTGGAGGAGGAGGAAGAAAACCCACAAAACTTCCCAAATGGGAGGCAGGCTGGCCAGGCAGGAGGAGGAGCGGGGCGGGCCGGGGCGTCGCTGCGGGACCTCATCCAAGGG